AATCTAATTTATTATAGGAATGCATAATTATGACTAATAAATTAATAGAAATGCATCTCAGAAATTTTATTTCGCGATCCTTGAATAAATATAATCCAAAGCAGCGATCATGGTATTTATACTTTGAACTTGGACCGTCGAGCTATATTAGTTACGATTTACGTATATATAAAAACACTTTACCGAAGAAATATAAAGCACTTTTTATGACTATTCACGATTTCTGTAAATAATTTTTATTGTTCGATATGAAATGATACTTTAACAATATCTTATAATCTTGAATGACGTGATCATAATCCAGTTTTAAGCTTGGTGGGTGACGTCGATTTCTTTAAAATTTTAAATCAAGCTCGATCGAACGGCGGTAGGTATCGATCGATCGTTAGAACGCGATCGTAATCAGGAACAACTTCAGGACGGTGTCCTGTGCAAGAAATGGCGGATTGTTTTTGCACGGGGGAGTTGTAAAAATTGCAGCGTGAGACATGTGGGTGTTGTGACGATTCGCGAGCAAGTAGTCAATTAAACATTTGATTCGGCATGAGTGACCACTATTGGGAATCCTTGGCCGAAGTGTACATCGCGAAACAAGCTGAGACTTCAGATCCTGATAATTACATTTATTGTCTTTGCAGCAGAGTATTTATTCGGTAAACAGATCGGCGAGAACATGAGTCACTTATACTAGCAAACATTGCGATTTCGTTTCTACGTTCTATATCCATGGCATACCTTTTTATAATTATTTTTGATCGTTGAGAATGTTCCACGTTTATCGATCAGTGGTGTGACACATGACCTAACCTTGACACCCACTCGAATGAGCTAGGTCAAATACTCTTTTTTTATGCCAAAAGTTATCTCCTTTGTTCAATGCGTTTCGTGTAGGGACAGAAATTATTTTTTATACCTGGCAATGATTTATAAAGATGACTGGGAGTTTTGAGTTACTTCATTCCTTTGTATGATTTTGCGTAATGTCATCGTAAATAAACAATGCACACCACGTGGGAATTAGCGGAAATTAGAAATAACAAATTTTACTACATTATATATGTTAGCTATCATTTTACTTGATGTATAGTACAAGAGTAACATCGTGAATGATGTTTATATTTCTTGAATTATTTTCATCTCTAGGAATCCAGAGGTGTACACAGTTCTTCCTCCAGAGGATGCAAGCGAAGATGAAGATGTCGAAGGAGATTGCGTCGGAGAAATGTTAGACCTCCATAGAAGATCTATCATAGAATCACAGTCCATTGAGAAACACGATGTAAGAACGTTTTTCTCCATTCCTTTTTTCTACTAAAATATTTAATTATTTTCAGTTAATCTGGTAACATGGTATATGTATTAGACACTTGTATTGAATAGCATTTGAACAAGAGCATATTTTTCCTTCCTTGAAATTAGGAAGAACCGGTGAGCTGTTACTGCAGTGCATCACACACAGACAACAATTATTCCACAGATGAACATGACTCTGTTCGTGATTCGGCTCATCGTCCCGTCGCGCATTCCCTCACGCAAAAGTTTGGTCTGCACCAATCCGATTCCGGTGCAGACTTGTCTGAATACCATGATCAACAAGAAGCTAAAAGCATACAAAATCTGCTGGCATCTTACGGAAAGACTTTCCATAGTACAGATGCTGAATTGGAAAGTGAGAAAGTGAACATACAGGCCCAGCATCAAGAAGAAGAGAAAGACTTAGGATTTGAATGTAAAACAATAGATATTCACCCGTCAGATCATCTTGCAAATAACATTGACGCTATAAATTACGATCCATCCATTTGTAATGAAAAGAAATTTTATCTAGAGAATCCGGTGTGTACTGTAAAGGAAACGGATTTGGAGATCCATAACATATTTAAGAATGTTTCTCTGAACGATACGCGAACGTATAACAAAGACATTAGGTATAACAATAGCTCTGATAATTATCCATATTATTCTATCTATTCCAAAACTAAAAGTGTAATGGATATAGCATGGGATAAGTATTGGTCTGAGAACGGTGAACGTATAATATGGACGTCTTGGATCGAGAAGTACGCGGATTATATAAATCCGGAATATTTCCAACACAATTCTTACTTAATAAACGACAAGAGATTGAAAATGAGGGAAACCATCGAGAAATTCTCAGAGCAGAACACGTGTTTTCCTAGTCAAGCGCACAGAAATTGCGAACTTGATCGCTCAAATTTTGAAGGGATATTTAGCAAAAATAATAGCACTGGTAATAACGATTTGAAGATTAAAGACATGAGTAGCATTAATTTTTCGTTCGACGATATAAGCAGGCCAGAGGTGAACGACAAAGACGCGGAAGAGAATAGAAAAAGACTGACGAGTTTCGAGGTCTCGCCAGAAACTGGAGATGGTTGGAACCCACTGAGTCCGTTCAGTATGGAGGAGAGTTACAACCAACAATCCAATGCAGAAGATGAGAGACTTTTAACGAGGTGTGATTCTGTTAACGAGTCTATAGCAAAGACGAACGCGACATCAGATTCTATGACGAACGTCACGAAAATGACACTCTCTAGTTCTAGTTGCGACTCCATTTCGACTCATTCATCTAGTCTCATCAGTTCTGTAACGAGTTCCATTGAAAGCAATATAACAAATAGCAGTTCTGATCAAGACAATGATCAAGAATATGTAACAGAAGATAATGATAAGTATTGGCAGCATTTATGGAAGGACAACTTCCAGATAGAGTACCAGAGCCACTATAAACTGTTTATAGACGAATACAAAAAGGAGCAGTTTGAGATTAGCAGTCGAGAATATAGTCAGAAACGTAATGAAAGAGATAGGAAACAAGATGAAAGCGATGAGAGCATAGACAAACACTTTATTATTCACGTGAGACCAGATAATAGAACTTATAATTCTGAAAATAGAACCACGTCTAAGAAAAGTTTGTCTCATAATAAGGACGAGAAGATAAAGAAACGACTAATCATGGAATCAGTAGGCGTGCTCATCCAAAATTTAACCATGAAATCAGAAGACAGTGAGCCTACAGATAAAAATGAGAAGTCCAACGAAATGAAATCACAAAAGAGTGAACAAAATGATCAGGCTGTAATTAAACAAAATGAAAATAATATGATAGTTTCTAATGAAACTGGTGGCAATAATACTATCCAACGAAAGTACTCTGATGATGGAGATGGAGATAAACCTAATGAGGATAAACCTGTAACATTAAAGCGGAGGTGGGGCATAATTTATTATCTATTTATTTAAAAAAGTGCATTCGAGTAACATTTATCTACTTTTTACTTTAGCCATGAAGCTGATTATGACGACGCGGAGGAGGGTCTAGAATCGGTGAAAAAAGCGTTTTCACTGATGGGTTATACTTTCAACGAAAATAACAAGCAATCGAATTTGCAAGGAGAAGTCGTATACAGGAAAAAGAATATTAGGTTACAAAATAGGCATTTAAAAATGAAATGCTATAGATCTAAGCCAGTAAATAAACATATGTATTTCGATGATAACGGAGTGGAAATTACTAATACTATAGACAAAGTAAGTCAAATTCTTTGTCGTACGAAGCATGAAAACATTTAATGCATTATTTTCATCTTTCATTTTATTTTTTATAGGTGAAGCATTATCTATCTTATTGTCCTCCTCTATCATCGACAGAAACAAAGTTACAACCCTCTGAAAAAGGTTCCTACACAGCACAATTTACATCAAGTTCTGATGATGAATGTGACCCTAGCATTAAGACAAAGTTGCAAACGAAACGATTTGTATTTAGTAAGGCAACCATAAGTCCAGTAGAATCAGGAACAGAGAAAGAACAATTTGATAATGCTTTGAACATATTCAATAATCAGGATGATGTTTTCCGTAATATTGAAAATGATGATATGTATCTTGAACAAGATGGGACGAGTGACTCTACGAAATTCATGTCGGAGGGGCAGCTTCCGGAACAAGTCAACGAGAGTTTCGTTGCATTAAATACTAACATGGATATAGATGAAAACAACAGTAACAACGAAATGCAAAGTATGAAATTATCAGACGAGGATACCGTGAAGAAAACACAAAAGAAGAAACGAAAGAAGCAGTCTAAAAGAAACATAAACTTTCCAGTAGAAATAGACAATGACAAGACTTTAATGAAATACTGGTTGAAGAGATACCGTCTCTTCAGCAAGTTCGATGAAGGCATTAAATTAGATCGGGGTATGTCATTCAGTAAATCACTCATGGAAAATGTTGTAATGTTTTATAAATATTTAGTTTATTATTAATTTTAGTTAGTATTATAATAAAGTATTTCTTATAGAGAGTTGGTTTTCTGTAACGCCAGAAAAGATTGCCGAGCACATAGCCGAAAGATGCAAATGTGATACCATAATCGATGCGTTCTGTGGCGCAGGAGGAAACGCTATTCAATTCGCTTTTACATGTGAGAGAGGTATGTTCCCTCGCGTATTAAAATCGTATGTTCCGCTAATAAACATCGCAATTTTTTGTTTGTTTTTGCAGTACTCGCGATAGATATAGATCCATCTAAGATCGAAATTGCACGAAACAATGCACGCGTCTATGGTGTTAACGATAGAATAGAATTCATCGTCGGAGATTTCTTTAAACTCGCACCAAAGTTAGTTGCGGATGTTGTGTTTCTAAGTCCCCCGTGGGGCGGACCCGGATACGCCAAGAATGAAACTTTTGATCTCAGTAACATTATGCGTCCAATCGGAGGAGTGGATTTATTTAATATAGCAAGAAAAATCACAGATCATGTGGCCTACTTTCTACCTAGAAATGTAGATACTATGCAGGTAAATTTGTATAATTATAAAAACATTGGAAAAAGCTTCCATTGCACCGTAAATTGACCTTTTTATCCATATATACAAATTTACAGCTTGCCATGTTAGCCGGGGTAGGTGGTGGTGTAGAAGTGGAACAAAACTTCCTTGACAGAAAGTTAATAGCTTTAACGGCGTATTATGGCGAACTGCCCAGGGACTGTTAGTTGTGATATGATGGGTAATTTATGAGACGATCTGTATCAGCTGCTTAAAAAAGGGAAACTTCTCACGTTTCATGAATTATTAGCTGTAAATAATAACTCGTATCAATTTGCTTAAGTTGCTCTAAATAGAAGCAGTATTTCTTATTTCATTTCATATGTTCTTTTATGCAATCCAGAGGAAAAGACAATTCGCTTAGTGCTATATTTTTTAATCATTGTAACCAATCCTATTTAAAAGTCATACGTCTGTATATGTCCACCAGTCACCATTCTCATAAGTTTCGCACTTAAGCAAATTGATACCGGGATTTCAATTCATGGAGACATACTTGTGAAATTGAACAATTAATACGTGAACACTTAAAAAAAAAAGTCTTAAATTCATTCTTCCATAGGGATAAGTGTTATTTTACCTGATGGCTAATTAAGTCGAGAACACTGGAGTATTTTTTTTCGTTAGTCCATCATGTAAAATATTATTTTAATGGTACTGCGAGCCATACGAGACATTGCAATCTATATTTTACAACGGTTTCCAGATTATTATTTTACAATTTTTATGTACACTTCTACTAATTTCCTATCAATTATAAATAAATACATTAAAAAAATCTTAAATCTGTCTTAGCGTAAATTACTTCCATAAGAAAAGTTAAAATAAAAAATCTCGAAGCTCCTTTCCTTCAACTATAAAATCTTATTTTAGGACGAGATAAAGCTCTTTTGAACAAGTGTGAACATAGAATCGTCAATGCAATCAATTCATTGAATAATCTACATACACTTCCTTTAAAACAATATAAAAAATTTTCCAAATATAACATTTGAATAGTTAAATTTATCCAAAATCTACAATTGGCAAATCGACAATCCCCAAAATAATATCACAATTATGATTGGAAAGAGTTAAAATGTTAATCCTACATTTTTTTGTAAAAAAAAATTGATTCATATCCTCTAAGTAACGTGTGACTAGCATTTTTTTTTCATTCGCCTTTAAAGTATGTATAAATTTCTCTCTGATTGTATGTTTTTGTTTCCTTTAATGTACAGAAATATTTTTTTCAATAACTGAATCTTCCAAGTTTTCACGTATCAACGCTAATTGTTGCATTCGATTCTTCGGGTTCCGCAGGTATGGTTATACCCCCAGTGTCTATGCTTTCTTCTTCCTCTCTTGGAATCTTTAAAAAGCAATGCATAGTTTCATCATCTTCTTGTTCGATCGTTGAATTGTTTTTCGTTCCACTTTCTTCTCTCGTTGGCAGTGAACCCTCAAGATGTTTCGATGGTATTTGTATAGTAATTGTTTGTGATGTACCATCCGCAGATGTTGAGGAAGACATTAAATTCGCTTCTAATGTATCTCCCACTTTCGAGAACGCGCCCAAACAACTATAAATCAATTGTGCCGCTGCTATGTTTCCCGGAAAAACTTCGACATTTTCACTATCTATACAAAATAAATAAAGCTAAATAAGAATTTGTACTTATAAACAGTTCAAGAGTTAAAAGTCATTGAAACTTACCCTTTTTTTGCAAGTTCGTTTTAATCAAACCCTTTTCATGGTCTCTTACATGTTGTATGTAACTTTCATTTTTAACTGTCTTGAACGGACACAGATCACATGTAAATAAACCAGACAGCAATGGATGTCTAGATTTTAGATGATTTTTGTAACTACTACTTTGTATCGCGGTATAAGGACAATGAGGACATTTGTAAGGCCTAAATCCTGTAAATGTTATATATGTAGTTGATGTTATATGTGATATATATTTTATTCATGCATACCTGTATGCTGCATGATATGACGTCGCAATGTATTATGATCTCCGGTTTTGTATTCACAGAGTTCGCAGCTAAAAGGTTTATCACCGGTATGCTGCCGTAAATGCATCTGCAACATTGCTTTTCTGGCGCTAGAATGTCCGCAGACATTACAAACGTACGGACGCAATTTCGAATGCACCGCTTGAATGTGACTCTTCAAACATTTGGAGTTCGCATACGTCTTCCCGCACATATCACATTTCTTTGAAGTGTACCATCGCGTTACTTCCAACGTTTTACGATCCAAATGCATAACTCTATGATTGCGCAGTTGACTTGCTTGTTTGAAACATTTGCCGCATTCCGGGCATTCGTATTCTCGCGTCTCACTGTGCACTCGCATGTGAGTCAACAACTTCACCATTGTTGCACTCTTATACGCCTTACATATTTTACAAGTAAATAAACCTATGTCTAAAAAGATACTTGTCAGATGTACTTCCCAATGTTTTATTATTCAAATACTATGAAATACTAACCAATTTGATGTTTTTTCCATAAGTGTAAGCTGCACTGCCTCCATTTAGTAAATTTCATGTCACGGCAAACGCTACACTTAAATGCTGTCCCATTCTGTGAGTCCGTGTGACAAAGTGCATGCTGCTGCATCGTCTCGTCGGATGAAAATTTATAGGGACATCCTCTATATGAACACCTAATAAAACACAGTCAATGACGATTATGCATTCCTGAAGAGTTCCATGATAATGGTATACATACTTTATGTTTCTTTCCATTAATTCGATCATTTTTTTATTGAGCATATATTCAGAATTAATAGGTTTTTGAATCTTAACTTGACGTTTGATATCAGTACTTTCAACATTCTGTCCTATGCACTCCAGCAACCCAGAATCTTTTGAATCATCAGTTATATTCTCTTTGCCACCTTTATTAGCTCCTGTATCTGTTAATTGATGATCCTGAAACAGCAATCATTAATGTAATACCTGTATTTGCATGTTGAACTTTAAAAAGACTGAATATGTACATTTATCATATGTTCTTTACAATCTTCTATAGAAGGAAAACAATTAGAACATTCTCCACACATGTACAATAGTTTTACTTCATCTACAGTCTTACATTCCTCTTTTATCTGCAACATAGAAACACTGTATTATATACAATCAATACGTACAGTTAAAACAAGGAATATTGAAACTCACTTCTATATCCATTTTTGGATTCACATGCATTTTCTGAAAGTGCTGCAACAACTGAGTTTTATCTTGTGTAGTGTAAGTACATATTTTACACTTGAACGCTGTTACAACTTCCACAAAATCGTTAGCATTCACATTATTCTTCTCCACGATAAAATTTTTTTCATTTTGGCCAGAAACAATTTCGTATTCCCCCTGAGAATGTTCATCGATGTTTCCAATTACTAATTCCTCATTCGTGATATATTGCAACTCGCAATTATCATCTTCTTTAGAGAGTAACACTGCTTTTTCTTGTGATTCATTCTGATTTATCACCTGGTTAAGATCTAATTCTTGCAATTCTCCATTTTGAAATGCATAAACTTGACCATCTAAGCAAACCAAAGAGATTGATTCATCCTCTTTCTCAACTTGTGGTTCGTCTATAATATTAACTGCATTCTGTTCTTGATTTGTTGTTGCACTTTTCGTTACATGTAGAGGTGAATCTGATATAGTTTGGAAAATGTATCTAGTGCCATTTATTTCATAACTTAAGTATGAAGAATCCTCGACACCTGCTTCTTCATTCATGATGATAGTGTTTAACTAAATTATATCATTAAATGTGCTTGATGTTCAAATTAATAGTAACATTTTGCCTGTGACAGAAATATGTAAATAAATGATAATATTACTGTAAGATAATGCACATTATTTGTAATCTATTTAGCAACATTATTTACTACTTCAACTTCACTTACACAATGCTTTACACTTTTAGTAAAAGTATTTCATAAAAGTCGTGGTCTAAACATAGCTATTATTGTACTTAAAGAATACAGAATAAATAAATTATTTACAATACATTCTAAAGTGTCGATATTAACACCTTCCGTGCGGATGATGGCATATGACATCGCGTAGTTCCATCGCTCCATCTGCGCGAAAGACTATTGTTGACGACGTGAAATAAGGTACAAACGGTGCAAAAGCCAGAATCGAAAATCTTTTTCGATCTCAAGAACTTTATAGGAACTTCACGCCTTTAATAATTACACATGTATTGGTGACTTACTATATATAGGTACTATGCATCTGTGTAAATCCATGTATACCAGAAATAGAGAGGGGGACTTTATTTTCTTATGAAATGAATATGTACATAATTAAATTAGAAATAACAAATATCAGGAATTTGAAATACATAATGGTGAAATGAGTGTTACACATTTTATTATTTTACTGAATGTACATTGGGAGTTCTTTCAGCATTTTGTCTAGCAATTTCAGGGAAAAATTGTGAATTGTATTTTTGTTTAATAGTAGGTTTAGGAGGAGTTTCGGAAACTACTGCTGGAACTGGTTCCCCTCTTAATTTAGCCAACAATGCTTCCGTTCTTAATTTCTCACTCTGTTCTCTTAACAATCGCTCTGCTCGCAATTTCTGAATATCCATAGTTCGTGTTTCTGTTGCTTCTTTTTCATTAATCTTATATTTTTCTTTCTTATGCTTTTTTGATTTCTTATGTTTGTGTCTTTTAACAGATTTTCTATGATCGGAATCACTGTCATCTGAATTCTCCCTCTTTCGTTTGACTGCAGTTTCTGACTTAATTTTTAATGATTTTTCACTGGTACTACTTCCCATAATGCTTAAATACTTTTTGATATCATGAATAGGATCGGCAAGTGCCTTTTTCTTAACTTGTACTTCTATATCCTTTTCTGTATCCCTTAATCTTTCTGGTAATTCCTCATACCAGTTCTTTTTACCTGTGGCCTCATTGGTATCTTGTCCAAGGTATGTAAGATATCCTATCTGTTTTTCATATTTTTCTTTCTCTTCTTTCTTCTCCTTTTCATGTTCTGCATTAGGTCTGTGGTGGTCAAGTTTTCCTTCTTCAAGTTCAGCAAAGAAATTGACATGATCCCATGTAGATGAGGATGATACATTTGTTTCGTTATCCTCTGTCTTTGTTCTTCCATCGTATTTTGATCTCGCTTTGTCTCTCAAATAATTGATCCTAGCTTCAGTCTCCTAAATACATAAAATATATCATTAAATATGTTATTACTTTTATGAATCTTTCATTCTCCATATACTTACAGCTTTTTCAATTCGTTCTTTCTTAATTTTTTCCTCTTCCGCAGCTTTCGCTTCATCTCGTCGGACGCGAGCAATATTTTCCTTAGTACGAACATGCCACCTGAAAGAAACACAATTTATATCATTTTCGAAGTTTCCATTTAATGTAATTACATAAAAATTTGTTTTATCCGCACCTTTTCTTTGGTAAAATATTCATGTTTTACGAAACAGGATTGTTCTCTATACAGAAACCAAACCGCACACCTTTATAACAGTCTTCCTTTCTTTCAACTTAATAACAAATATCTTGGTAAACTCGTCGTTTTAATCATTATTTGATGCTAGAATTTATGATCATTTTGACAAGTTTAGTTAGGCTATTCTTTCGTATTAATACCTAGCAACCATTTGTGACACAAGTGCATATGTGAGTGTATAGGACTATAGGACGTAGAATAGAACGAGAAAGTTTCGATTTCGAACGTTCAAGCGTGGTACGTCGTACGCAACCAGCAGAGTTCAAAGTTTTTTGCCCCGGCATCATATTTTTTAATACGTAAGTACATACATTTTATTTCATGTGAAAAATTGTAATACAGTAATGTGAAATGAAAAATAGTATTTCTTATATTCTGAATGTTTAAGTATATATTTGGATTTAACCCCTACATTGTATATGCGTGAATATTTTTTGCAGAAAACAAAAAAAGAAAATTATATACAATGGCTGCAACAATGCCAATAAATCCCAAACCATTTCTAAATGGTTTAACTGGAAAACCTGTTATGGTAAAGTTAAAATGGGGCCATGAGTATAAGGGTTATCTTGTCTCTGTCGATGGATACATGAATCTACAGCTAGCTAACACAGAAGAACATATAGATGGAAATTGTACTGGCAATCTTGGCGAAGTTTTAATTAGGTGTAACAATGTAATGTACATAAGGGGTGTGGAGGAAGAGGACGAGGAAGGAGAAATGAAAGACTAAGTTACATACTATTTAACACTTAGGATATCTTTTACTTTTAAGTACAAATAAAGTAATTGAAAATGATAATAAAGTAATGTTTTCTATAATTGTGAAAATTTATTCTCTAAGTAGTACAAATCATAATAACTTATCAGCATTTTATAGGTTTAACGTTAAATACTTGTTTCTTTGACCTTCAAAATTTCATTTTGAACTGTTTGTAATATATTTAGGTCTCGATTTAAATATGAGTTTCTTTTTTACAATTGCCTTAACAACATATTCTGTATTTGTCTCAGAATTATTTTCCATACTACTGTCCTTATTGCTCTTTTTTATTAATACTGCAAATGGTTTTGGAAGCAGAGCTTCCTTTCCATGCAATAAATGTGCGCCGACTATAAATACAGGAGCACCAGATTTTGTGAAATGTAAATCTCCAATATATTTATTTGTATTATCTCCGGAGGTAAATTTTAAATCGCCCTGTAGTTCAATAATTACCCATTCTTCCAGCTCACCAACCCTGTGAAATAATTGAGATTCCATATTAGTGACGCCCTGTAAATTAAATTTATTACTCTTTTTTTAAGAATATAAACAGTACCTTTTTATGCGTATAATCATTCTGAGTTTTGGCGGGTAAACGAGACAAAGCTGATCGGAATATGTATAAATCAAAACTAGAAGACATGCGCTAATGACATCAGATAGCGATGCACGTGACCGCAATCCTGTACATGCCCGTGCATAATGGCCGGTATTCAGAGTCATTGCTTATTCTTAAGATTGTCTTAAGCATTTGCTTAAGCACCTGTTCCC